CAGCCAGCCACCCAGAATCGCAAAGGCAAGATACGCCTTCATCAACCTGAGACCAGTATAGAGATCTTCTGCACTCAGTCAGCCAGCATAAAGAACAACATTCGGATTCTATTGAACACAAATGTCAGTCAGTTCTTCTATATGGGTCAGAAACTTGCACTGAGTGTCACGAAAAGGATTTCCAACAGGCTACTGCAGACTTTTATCAACAGCTGCCCACTTCTCTGGCTGGCTCTACACTGAAGATCAAATAGCCGGCCGATCGGCCAGAAAGAATTAGAGACAAGTAACTGTGACTCAGAACAAACTGACGAAGAGCCCAGTTGCTCAGAAAATATGTAGGAGAAAATGGAGGTGGATAGGGCATTCGTTGAGGAGCCCGTCGAATGACATCACGCTCAATGAAGGTCATTGACCGAGTGGAATCCCAAGGGGAAACGACGAGTGAGTGGTGAGTCCGAAGGTGACATGAACGAGATCGTGCGACAAGGAGATAAGAGATTATGGTCAATCGTGATACCAGCAAGACGAAGAGGACAGCAGGGAGCAGAACGTAGTGGAGATGTGTTGTTGAAGCCCTATGTCCCACTTGGAACCCAAGGGAATGATAATAATAATGACCGTAGTTAAATGTCAAGTGGCAAAACAATTAATGTCATATATAGAATAATTCACAAGGTGGATAATAACCGCATCTTGTAAATTGAAAGGATCTCTTGAAGAAACAGAAAGTAAACCATGTCTTGGATACCTTAAAAATGCATCAAAGAGTAACAATTCATTGGAGTAAATGCTTCCGATTTCAAAATCTACAGGCTTCTTAGTGATAAGTAAATTGGCTTCAACATGTTTTAGTCCTTTGTGGTAGTCAGTAAACATAGTAACTTTAGTGTATCTGAGTTAGCTTAAGCTACATTTTACTAAACCAATGATACAAGATTACTCTTCTTGATAAAACAATTTGACTCCTTAACCTTTGCTTTTATGTGAACACACAATCTTGTGGCTTGACTTCCATTTGTGTTCTGCACAGTCTGAAACACTATAATACTAAAATAATCGCATGTTAATTGCTAAAAGGTCACCTTAAGTTCTAGATATAGAAGCGCTTAGTTTACTGTTTACATGAGTTATTTTGAACTATTTTAAAAATGCATCTTAGCCTAGTTTACTTAGATATCTCTACACAACTCTAGTCTTCAACAGTATGCACCCGCACTCCCCTCACTGGGGAGTCGAACCCAGGACATTCAGATTGCGAGGCTACACGCGCTCATTGACCATCCAGCTGATTGAGTGATGATCCAGTGACCCATGAATTCCAACTTTCTTCACTTCGTGATCTTAGTGCAACAGTTATAGAAGCTTATCAGTAAGTATCTGTCCTCACACTTGACCAGGTGAACCCTACTGGTCACAATTCCACATTAGAACTGCACACAAGCAACTTCGTCCTGTAGTCAGCCCAAATGGCTGAATTGTAAAAGAGCTCGGCCCCATAACCTGAAGGTCTTCAGTTCAATCCTCAATGGGTTTTTGGGTACTACTGAAGCTCTCCAGTACTCCCTAGTTCGTGGTGATTCTCTAACACTGACATCACTCCATGATAAAAGTTGAAGCAAATCCAACTCCGACAAACCAACTCTTGAAAAATAACTCTACTCTTTAGCACTCAGAGTCGCTTATTGTCACCTAATTACTGAACAATAACTAAAATATGTTAAAAAGACTTATGTTTAGTGGTATTTGAAGTTTTTTATTGCTGTTCAAAGCATGTTAAACTGATTTTAGTCAATGTTTATCTTCCTTAAACATGTAACAGCATGTCTTGATATATACCACTGAGTTTCATATATTCACACCTGCTTATAAATAGATAAGTGTGTGAAATGCTCAAATATTTAAAAACTTGTTATTTTTCTTTAAAAAATGAGTTTCCCCTCCGCGAAAAACAGTACTTACTCAATAAAAGACATTTTAGTGTAATTGCCTTTATCCCACGGTCATTAGTCAGCTTGGATTAACATAGAAGTTTATAAGTAGAGTGGGTGTTTCTATTGCTGTTGAAACCTTCAAATCTTAAGCGCCCATCTAAGATACATAAATTAAAAGTTCACATGATTAGTGACGAGTACTTGGTTTAGCCCATCTCTATCATTATTTTCTTAAAGGCTTGTTTTGATACTGATCAGTATAGCTAATTAATAATTTCGAAACTATCACTTAATTTCAAGAGAATTACTGAGGAACTGAACAAACTGATAACCCTTTACCAGAAGGTGCAAAACAGAGTGGATATATTCACTTCACCTATGTCAAACTAAAGGTGACTAAAAATTTAAAGGAAATGAGCTACTCGTTGATGTTACAATATGTCAACGGCGTCTCATCATCGTGTTAACCAGTGAAGAGCAACGTGCCCTAAGGTGAAAATCTAAGCTTGCATCTGTTCTTACTTAGTGCGAATGAGATACTACTGAAAATTAAGTTTTCCTGTTTAGTGTGCGCCGACGACCCTAAATTCTAGAGAATTTTAAACAATGATAATGGTCTACTTACTTTGCAAGAATAGTTAAATGTACTAATAAAAAGGTGTGAAGAAGAAGTTAATACAAGTATATAATTATACATGTTGCTCATAATTAGATGCATACCTTCGCAGTGGCTTTTATGTGCTTGTAACTATCGAGAATAAGGAATCAGAAGTGGTTGTAAAAGCCTCAGCTAACTGGAATATAATAAACTCTGCATAAAGCCTTCTTAAGTTTGAAAGCCAACATACTTCATATATTAGATTTCGTTTGAAATGTAATTAGGTAGCTCATATTTCAAATATTTAGATATATTAGGGAGGATGCGAAAAGTGAGAATTGAACTGATCAAGGGGTTTCTAAACTTTCCATATAAGAAGGGATTGAACTGACTAGATTCATTTCCACCTTAAGATCCCTGGTTGGACGATGACCTGATTTGTCATTTCATATTCTCCATAGAAACCTGGGTGTCCACTTACTGTGTCTATTTCCCCCTCTAAAACCTGCAACTTGTGAGGTCATCATTTTGAAGTTCAAAAACCACAGTGAAATCCTCTATGCCGAATTGTGAACCGGCGTAATTCTCTGCCTGAACATGACCCATCAGCACCTTCTGGTTGTTAGTTCAAAGTAAGACTAGACCTTCATTATTTTGCAAATCAACAATACTATTGAAGACCTAAAGCGTACTACCTTCGTTAATTTTGTAAACCTTAAAGTATGTGTTGGTGAGACTGTCACAGCTGAGAGGTGCCAGACTTCTATTTGCTAATCTTGTGTGATGAAACGGATAAAACGATATGGTAAAGACGCTTGAGAAAGTCACTGAGATTTCATTCCAGTTAAGAATTTAGACAACTGGGTTTATAATGATATAATAACTACTTTAGGAGATAAAGGGATGTTAACGTTTACGTGAAGTATGACGTATGCAAACTCAAGTTCTTATACCCCAACTCTTATGGTATAGATGAAAGACAAGTCAAAACACCAAATTTATCATACAAAAGAAGAGATGCATTTCGGGGCCAAAACTGTAGCACGATGATGGTGACTTATGTAGCTAGGGATCGTCCATGAACTAACGAAGGAAAGTAACACAACACTGTGCCAAATGGCGAGGATGCTGGACCACGGACTTTCAGATTATCGAGTCGAGTTAAACTTTGACGGTTAGCGTCGAATATTGAGTGAAGAGTACTATGGACTAATAATTCTGGGGAATTATTTACTGCTGCACTACAAACGCAAGAAATTCAAATACCAGAAACTGTGTTTATAAAGGCAGACAAATTTGAAACCTTTGTACCAGGTTCTAGTTCATCCCACTTCCACCAAATGCCATAAAGCGGAATAACTCAAAAAACATATGAAACCGACAGTTTGGCAGATTAACTCCATAGAATTTTGCAGAGTTTTTCTAAAAGTCATTTGAAGTAATATGATTTTATCTTGATGGATATCCAATATCCAATATCCTGATTACGAGCTAGCATAAACCAGTGATTTCTCTGAGCTCACTTCTTGATTGTAAGGTAGAGGTTCCAGATCTTCGGTGAACTTATGCATAGTATATCCCGCCACTCGACTGCTTTAGCTCTGGTAGACTCCAAGAGGAGTGGTGCGAGGATTGGTCAAGATTGTGGTTTGTAGTGTGCAGTATGTTAGGACTCAGCTGCTGCCGTGAATGGAGTTTGACCTAACACCCGTTGGTCATTCGGTGTAGTCATAAAGTAGAATGGTAATAATAATAGGTTATAGTGTAGATAATATAGGATGAGATAAGTGAAATAATAAAGGTGAAATAATGAAGGTGAACGAAGAAAAGATAGAGTATGTTTAACTTTTTGTATTCCGAGTAGTTTGGAGACAAAAGTAGGTCTAAGACCTCTAAGGTAATATGGACAGAAGTCCAATTTCATGCAGCAAAACAGTAAACGCAACGCAACCAAAGTCATTGTTTGTTGTCGGCTTAGCCGAGCTAGCAAAAGAATTATAATTCCTTATAAGGCCACCATAGAAACGCACAGCAAACCATCGTAGGAGGTACATAGATGTGATTTCATCCCATGAGGTAGAGGAATTATTTGTCTGACATTGCCTAAATCCCTGCAGTGCAATCAATTAGAGAAACTCTTCCTAAATTTTCAGTATATATCGAAGCAAATACTAGTCCCAAGTAAAATATTCTGTGGTAGTTTTTGGGTAAACAAATAAAATAAATTATGAAGTTTTTGAGTAAATTAAATGTTTTCCTAGCAGATTCTAAAAACACCTCAAAGCGCTGCAAATAGTCACAAAACTGGGATCCCATGGAATCTTGAGGTTTCCATTCATGACATAATTACACTAATTCAAATTTAAATGAAAATTATTGCGCATAATAATCAAAAAGGCAATTCTGTTAACAAATATACATGATAAATTCTTATTACGAAGTGGTACAACAGGAGAACGAATACTCACCTGCAATTTATCATGCTGAAACATGTTATCGCGCAATTAACAACAGGCGCTTATATTCAATTCCCAATGTCTATAAATCTGCGTCCAACAATAGCAGACTATTTGAGTTTCATTAATAAAAATGATATTTCGATTCATATTAACTGGCTTTACTGCATTCTACGGGCGTCCTCTGTATCTGATCCATTTATGCACAAAACTGGCAGGAGTTCGAACTTTCAATTTATTTAATACTTACTCGTTTTAAATGATATCAAATTATCACCCCCTTGAAAATTCATAAATTATGTGTACTCAGTAGGCTTTGTTTACAATCCCATTACCCGCATCATAATAGTAAACGTGTACACACTCCTACTACCCTTATTCAAAATGTGGTATAGATAATTTACACGCCTAGATAGCTTGAGCTTTTTATTCATAGTTTACTCTTCTAATTACGGGAGGTTATTGGTTTGTGGTGGCTTTTTTATTCAGAAGCCACATGACGCCATTATTTGTGTTGGTGGTTACGTCCACTGGTATATCTAATAGTAGTGCTGTGATGACAATGAGGAGATAACTGGAGAATATACACCTGAAACGACCACATTTGTCAGTTGATAAAGTAACTGTTTCTCACATGAATCACAATTTACTTAAATCTACATGGATACTTTTGAAGTTGTAAGTTCGATACTGGCTTCAATTTACAAAACTCTCAGCTTCGTTTTATTCTGATAATGTTCTCAAACGTAGTCACTAAAGAAGATTCAATCCCCATACTTCCTCTCTGAACAACTATGCCAAGTGAGGGGTGTGTATTACTCGTACTGAAAATCTTGACGGTAACATCTTCGGACCATATTTGAGAAAGTGGCAGTTCTTTCCCCTTCCATACCGTAAATCAAAGACAGAATGGTGGCGTCATATATGTCAAACTCTCATGGTTTAGTGGTCAGAACTAAGGGCGGCAAATTGGAAAGTTTGAGCGTGGTAGTAAAGACTTCAAAATGAAGTTTGCTCTGAAGATGTCACCTATTAGGAAAATGAAAGCTTAGCAAATTAACTATCCAGCTCAGGGAACACAACCACATCAAAAAGAGTAGTGGAAGCTAGCCAACCAGGAATAGATACGCGCTCCTTGAATACGACATGCTTTTTCTCCTCTAAACAGAAAATACCTGTTTTGTGAATTGTTGGACTGGGAAGCTTGATCCTCCAAGCCAGTGAATTCAATTCAACCATCACTTCCACATTAAATCTTTTTGATTATATCCAGCTGTCCCAAACTACTGTGGTGAGAGTTGGCTGGTAGCCAAAGTTGGTAGGCAGTAACTGGCGTCAATGTTTATGTCCCCAATATTGGTGGTGAGAAAATTAGAACAAAGGCTTGCGTAGGCGGATACAGTTAGCATATGGATGATCTGACACAGCCACAAAGAGATGCAAGGTTAACTTTCTGTGAGAAACAACCAATCAAAAGACTGTATTTTCTACTAACATTAACCTACAATAATGTACATAAAAATCTATAAATATGTGTTGATTTTCCTTAATAAACGATCTGTTGCCCGTCCCTTATCTTCTGTTGTTACATTACTACCAAAGCTTCAGATGCTACATATGTAACGGCATCTCCCTCAATCTCTCGGACAAACAAGACCTGTTCGTCTGCTACGTAACTGCAGTAAAGCCTAGAAACCTAAAAGTTCTAGATAAAGTCGAAAACCTTTTATTTTTCTTATATGTACTTTTTCAATCAGTTTGTCCTTGTTCTATTGATCACATGCTGTTGCTATCCCTCATTCACGTACAAGCACGATTTATAATAATTGGTTATATGGTGGCTGAATTTAACCATAAAAAGGGCATTAAGCCACTGAATTCTGTGGTGACTAAGGCTTCAGCCAGAGAAGCAAATAATCCAAGGATACTAATCCCGTTTCGTATACCAGTTCTAGAGGCCTATGTACATATCCTCTGATATTATAGCATTCCTTCATTGCCACAGCGCAACACTCACACTGCACAGGCGAACCCAAGTGGACACAACACCACACCTGTATCCATGGGAAGCCAGTGTCACTCAGCAAAATTAAAATGATACGCTTCAGACGTCATAAGACCTCGAAGGTGTCTTCAGAAAAAGGAGACAACTGTAATGTCTCCAAATTGACCCAGAATTTGAATGCAGTTTTCGCAAACAATGGGTGCACTGCCACTGTGACAAAGGAGTGCCGAAGCCGTACAATGTGTTCATGTAAAATGACCTGTGCCCATGTTTCTGGTACATTTGCCCACTTTATCGCCCTGGCTCAGTCTCATAAAGAGTGCTGTCGGATTACAGAAACAGCATGCGATTGGGAAGTTTTACAGATATCAAAGAGATCTTGCAAACGCTTAAGAGATTTATGAGTGAGACATCGAAAACGGTAACATTCACTGTCGACTGTGCATCTACAGAGATGAATGCTTTGAAGCGGGAATTCTGTCATATATGAACATTATAACCTTGTAGACTACGAGCGAATCTAATTCAATGCGCTGGCTAATCTGTCCTAATCGCATGTCAACAACAACAATACCCCCGGGCACACAAGACAAAAGAAAGAAGACTGGACGTTGATACGAGAGCTTTTATTGTCTCTACAACAGTCGAAAATGTTAAACAAAACTCCTTATTTATACAGTTAGGAAAATCTATCTCACATTTAAAAAATATTAAAAAACCAATGGAAATTCAGTAGAATCAATCATACAGGTGCGAAAAATCAATATTGATGAGTCACCAGAGTATATATATGAAATTCCCTCGATGCATTATTGCTGTATGCCTTTTTCATGTATGCCAGGCCTCCACAAGGGAGTTAGGTTTCGTTCTTATTAATGAAATTAACCAAAAAAGTTCCTTTATCAACGCGTTAAAAAGTGGTTGTATCGAATGGCGCACACGTACAGCTATGACAAGAAGGTTAACAATTAACAGTGTATTGAAAATGTTTTGGAGTTGCATACACTTCATAGGTACGATAGATGCTGAAGCTGATGCCCACATCAGAAGATGCTGGCCAAGAGATCAAAAATATTGGGCTGTGTCGTGCAACCGGTTTACCATCGGCATGGGGGACAATACTAATAACAGAGTGGAGAATGCTAACAGGCAGCTGAAAAGGTATTTGGTACAATAAATAGTTTATCTTGACCTGGTTTATACGAAGCAGATCAATGTTTGCAGGTTTACCATAATTATTAACTATCAAACTAAAAGTAAGCTCATAGTAGCATCCACTGAGAAAAGTTGACCCCGACACTTTAAAATATGCAAAACGTCGAAAGAATCTCTGCAAATTTCAATGACAAACGAACTCACAAAAACACACGAACAGTCAACGCAAGAACACACCATTACCTTAAGTCTGGACATACTGTCCTTCAAAACGTGACGACGCTGCTTAAGCAAACCTCGAACCATAAGCAGGTAGCACACTGAGGTTACGATGCATCCCCACGTCTCAGTGACACTACAGCAGTGCGTCAATGAGAATGCCAGCCAGTGTCACCCAATTGTCCTAACTAGTTACAAAGAAAAAATCAACAACAGGCTGGTTCCATCAGAACCGACCAACTAGTTCCGATATTAAATCCTCTACCAGCAGCCAACCTGGTATCAATTACCCTGCAACACGCTGAGGTGGTGAGACTGACTGTTAGCTGCCTGTATAGCAATGTGAGATGGCTGAGAGGGAAAGAAGGTGAACTCGGAAACCTGCAGTCACACTTACACCTTAAACTAGTCGTTCTTACTGAAACCTGGCTAACCATCGCCGACAACGAAATCAGTATAATTGATATGGTTCTGGTCAGGAGAGGCAGAGATAACAAGGAAAGGGGAAGTTGCCATGTACTTCGACGAGCAACTTTAACGCGTACGTGCAGCGGACCCACCACTTGTTGAACTCCCAGACTCCATATGGTGTCGTTTCACCGTAGGCCACGTCAAGCTTTCACTGGGTGGCACCTACCGATCACCCACCCGTGGAGCAGAGCACAACTACTTACTACTCGGCACCATCAAAGGGAAACGGGACTTGCGTCATAATCAAATCAACATAGCTAGAGATTTCATTGCCCCATCCCTGCACCTTGGCTCGTAGTATGCTTCAGGAAAATTCGGTCGAAATCTGCCACAAACCATTAGAAACGTTGGAAGCAACACTAGGTGGGGCCCTGGTGGAAAGTCACCGAAACTAGATTGTATTCTAACTAGCGACCAGTTACTTGTTGAAAATATCCAAATCATGAACCCCCTAGGGAATAGTAACCACTCAGCCATACGGTGTGATCTTGTTCTCTGTTAGAACCTACTGTGGGACGTTAAGCGAATACGTCTGTGCTACAGCAAAGCTGACTGTGCCAAAATGCGAGGGCTTTTGTCCGACGCAAAATGGCCCGAGGAATGGGCCAAGTTATCTGTGGATGAACACTAGGAGTTGGCGAAAGAGATTATTCACACGGCAAGCTCAGAAACCGTCCGCCTAGTCACAACATACACGAAGAAAAAATCCTCGTGGCTGATAGGAGGTACTCAACGTAATCCAAAAGCAAAGAGGAAGACTTGGTCTACGTGGCACGTATCCAAGAGTTGGACTGCCCACGATGTCTACCTGGAACTGAGGAACCGGCCCAACACAAAATTCAGGAGAGACAGGAGGTCATTTCCGGCTAAATTTGCAAAAAACTCCTGGTAAACCCCCCGGAAGTCTCTACCGATTCATGTTGGAGAGAAAATCAATCAGCCAGGAGCATAAGCCTTAGCAGGACTAAACGGACAATATCTCGCTAGCCTGGAGATGGCCACGACATTCAGTTTAGCTTTGGTCAAGCAGTTAAACAACAATGTGGGTATTACCGATATAGGCTGTAAAGGTGTCCCTACTACTTTGCCGAAGGAAAAACTAGTGTCTACTCTCCAAAGAAAACCGACAATATCACTAGGGAATTTACAGAAACTCACACCTTAAAAGTTCTCCGGTTGTAACAAATGGTTCTGAAACAGTGCGCGTAAGCT